ATTAATAAAAATTTGTGCACACAGTGAAAGTTAATGGGGTCCAAAACAACACTGGTCCCCATTGGGAAAAACAAAACAGACAAAATATCTTTTTTTAAATCTATGTCTCCGGTACTTCCTGCTTTGCTCCCCACCAGGCATTTTACAACATTGTTATTTTTACATACAGCCTCTATCAACAGGTGTTTCGACTAAACTAGCTTCCCCATAACACTTTCCAAACCATTTAACCACCTTCCTTAATCTCCCAATCCACAAACCTGAAAGGCTGTGCGCAATCCAGTCAAGTTCCCCACCGCTTCAGCCTGAAGAGTGTGGATTACCTTAATCCACACGTTTGGCATCCTGATCCAGGGAAACAATACTGTGTAACCGCACAGGGACACTTTTTAGATGGGGGTGGGTCTATACAGGATCATTAAGGGGATTTAGACTTTGCAGTGGGAGACATTGTAATGAGGTAGAGATGTAAAAAAAAAAAAACGTTCAGGATGTCTCTGCTGTTGATTAGCAGAAGGGGTGAGAGGTGACGACCCCTCGACACCCAGCAGTCAGGTGAGCACGTGCAGTCAGCTGTGGTGTAATGCACTCTGTTCCTCATCCTTCCAACTTCATTTACACAGACTACCAGAGTAAAGTGACATACATCCTCTTAATGAAACAGGATCTTTTCAGTTTCAAAAAGACAACCGTTTTTCACCAAGAGGAAATACACTGCTGCCTCTAAAGCTAAACCAGTTTCTTTTTTTTTTTTATATATAATAAAATCAACTTAATTTTAATGACTTTGGGGAATGGAAAGACTCAAGACTTCCAAGAAAACTAAATGCTGCTTTAAAAAAAAAGGGGAAAAAAGCCCTCAGTGGATCACAGCATGCTTTCTTATTCAGCACTCACAACTACTCTAACGAAAGTTTGACTCCTTTAACTCCGTTATCACGCCCTCTTGTGTCAATCCACTGACACTTATTTTTAACTTGATTGTTTCAGTCTCAGCTGCTTCCAGTTATTTTAGCAGTGCAAAAACAGTCTGTTATGCTGCTTGATACTGCAAAGCAGTATTTGTTGTTCTATTTTATTATCATAATCATAAACGCACTGGTTTGTAACGCAAAGAGTTTTTAGAGGGCAACTTTAGAGGTCAGCAGTTGGACTCCGGGAACTGATTTATATTTATTAACTTTTGCCTTTGAAGACAGACCAACTGTGAGCTATGAGGATAATCGATGGTATCTGCTTTTGTTGAAGTCACCCGCCTGCATTATTTTAAAATTTTTAAAAAATACTGTTCAACAGCAGAATTCAAGGTAAAAAAACAACAACAAAAAAACACATTACCCATGATCCTCTTCTCAAATTACTTAAATGTTTGTATATATATGATTATTTTGTTATAAATTTTAAATATATTGTTTCTATATAGTACAATCAATATCTTCAAATAAACTGGTTTTATATTTATCCTTTTTTTCTTTGGTTGTCATTTGCAATGTTCCATGGTAATGTTGTTCTTTCCATCATTAAAGCCCTTAAGTACAGTCCTGTACCTTTGTCTTTTTGTCCAATTTGCAAATACTTTTGCTTCGAATCAAAGTTTATAATGTTGTTATTCATCTCAGTTGGCTGGTTTGACTGGTTTCATGGCTTATAGATCTTAAAGGAAGACTTTAAAAAAAATGGGGAAAATACCTGAAGGACTCTGATAAAGTGGACAGACACTGTATAGAGGTTAATTGAAGGTATATGCTTTGGTGAAGCCATCAGCCAGCTTTATTTTAAAGGTGGGGTAAGCGATTTTTCAAAAACGCTTTAGAAAACTGATTCGGGCCGACTAGCAAAACAAACTTGTAGCCAATCAGCAGTAAGGGGCGTGTCTACTCATGATGTGGAGGAGAGAGCGTTCAGTGCACAGGACGGACATTAGCCGAGCCGAGCGACAGAAAGATGGAGATGGCGGATAAACAAAAGAGGAAAACGTCTGTGGAACAGAAGAAGGCTTAAGGCAAGCGAGACCCTTTTGGGGTAGGGGCGTGTTTGTTTTGTTGATTTCAAATGTCAACATTGGCATCGCTTACCACACCTTTAACTTGGTGTTTGGCAGCAGAAATCCTGGTGAAAAGACAACATTACCCATGATTCTGCAAAGAAATCGCCTCCAATCAGAGAATCATGACATACCACAATAAAAAAAAATAATAATAATGGGAAAAATACTTCTGGAACCGGGAAGACGCTGTTGTATTCTACAGCTTTCTACATACTTTCACAGAAAATAGCTTCTGCGTTAAAACATAAGGTAGATAGTCTCCTGAAAACAAAACAAAAAAACAGTAATTTCACTTGCACAGAACGATTCAAGATGTGAAGCCTTCATTCCCCTCCTGGATTATTGAGATAACATTTCAAACACAAGCAAGTCATTGTGTTAACATCAAACTTTAGCAATCCTTTATTGAGGAGAACAGATCATATTCACTGTTTGCTACTGAAACATCACAACATCATACTGGGGACGTTCATTACATGGGCTCGTCAGGTGGTTAGAGAGAATCAGAGAGAAAGAGAGCAAGGACGTGAGAGCAAGAGCATTCGATCACACTCTCCAAAACACACGGGACAGTAGTTTCCCCCTCCGGCAAAACCCTCTCTTCTTAAGCCAACAGATTTGGAATAAATAAAATACTTTGTCTCAATTATTCTATGCATCAATAATTGTTGATATACACAACGCAAATGAATGTCCTTGAGCACTCACCGCACAAAATATATCTCTTTACCATCTCGAATGGATACGGACTCAATCTATTCATCTTAAAATGAAGCTTTCCAGCATATGGCTGCAAGTTGTGTACCAGAAGAGGGGAAAACTGCAAAAATATATATACATACATAATCATCTCATAAAATTCAATTAAACACTCATTTTAAAGCTACACACCAGAGCAGGTGAAGTCGATGAATAAACAACCAAAAACAAAAAAGGAGGGAAGAAAAAGGCCTCCAGAGCATGTCTGTGTCCGATGATTGCACAGCGCAGAAAAAAACTCACATGTGAAGTAAATGGAGTAAGAATGTGAATGTATAAGATGAAGCTAATCGAACAATAAATGCACATATGAAAATGTTACGCATGAGAATGTACAAATGGGTGCGTGCAGGTATATGTAATGTGTATCAGTGTGAAGGGGTACATTCATTCAGAGAAAACTATCCTGTAAGTACACCCTTACAGCATGGTTCACCTTTTACAGGCACGGTTTAAAAACAATTCTACATTAAGGATTACTTTAAAAAAAAAAAAAAAAAATCAGACCCACTCATAATGAATATTCAAGTACTTATAAGTCAGTCTGAGGAGAGAGCGTCCCCTCCCACTCTTTCACTCCGCTGTTAAAGGAGAAAAAAAAAATATAGCTATATACACATACATATTTCTGCAGTTTCACTTTAGAAATACTCTACCTTCTCATAGTTTCTTTCATATAGTTTTTTTTCAGTATTTTTTGTTTTCGTAATCAAATGTGAGTGCAATCAAACAATACCAATTACGCCATATAATCTGCAATAAAAAAAATTTTTTTTTAAACGAGTCAAAATGATAGAGGGGGAAACCTATTTGAAATTCGACTATTTTGTTAGAGAAAACCACAAACCAGAAGGCAAGCTGATGGGAATAAATCAGTAGGGAGAGCAGGGGATGAAGTGTGCTGCGAAAAAGAGGAGGAGTTCAGTTCTTATGTACTGTCTCTGAGGCGACTGTAAGGAAGTCACCGTGACAAGCTCTTCCAAATAAAGTTCTCTCCATTCAGAGAGTAGCAAGCACCAAAATGAATGACACTAGAAGAAAGTTGCCTCTGCCCCAAAAGAGAAAAAGAAAAATCCACAACAGATACATTACATTTCTGTGGCTGCTGTCCAGCTGCTGGGATAGAGCCTGTAAGAGTCGCAGGGTTAAAGAGGGTGGCAGAAACTTTGAACAGGAACTGAGATCATGCCTCCAAAAAGCTGCACATGCGTGGTTGTGAAGGGGTTTCAAAGAGAGCCTTGTCTGAACGAGGGTCCCTGTCCCTCTCAGAGCTCACTGGCCCCACCCTCCTCCAGCTGAGTTCAGAGTAAACGCCTCCAAATTAACATCCAGCAACTTCTGCTCGAGCAGTCCCATCACTGCTCATAATCGACAGATTTCAGGAGGGAGGGGGGTGGGGGTGGGGGAGTAAAAATAAATCTCTCTACCATACAATGCAGTTCTAAAAAAAAAAAAAACCCATAAGATTTCTGTAGTTTTCTCATCTTTAAAAAACAAGCATATGTATTCCCAGACTTGTTGTTTGACATTTCCTATGACGCTCTCCGAATTAAAACCAAAAAAAGTGTGAGCAAGGGTTTTCTTGTGTGATTGGAGGACATACACTTGTGGATTCAGAAGCCGTTGGGTGCTCGGGCTACCAGGGGTCGTCCAGGTCACCTCCGCTCTGCGACAGGGAGAAAACAAGAAAGGGAAAGAAATGAGCAAACAGAGAAAAATTAAATGGGTAAAACACTCACTAGTACGAACTGGGGATGTAAAAGAAACAATGAAACCTGTGAGGGTGTGAAAGACAAGAAAAGGAGAGAAAGGAAGATTTCCTAATTGTTGAATTCCATGTAACAGAAAATGAAGTCTGGTTTTACATAGTTCTGATTAAAAAAAATTAAGTTCGGGGTCAGTAAGATTATTATTATTATTATAATATATATTTTTTTAAATAATACTTTTATCCAGCAAGGATGCAATACTTCACAATATTGTATTTTTGATCAAATAAACGCAATCTTGGTGAGCATAAGAAACTCATGCTCATCAATGTTTTTCAAAAACATCATATACAGACCCCAAACTTTTAAACAGTAGTGTAGGTGCCTCCGAACCTACAGGTGACTCCAAAGTAGACAGTGGGCCAAAAAACTACCCAATAACATTAAAACAGCATACAACCAAAATAGGAGTGGTTACATGAATCTGTGTACCAAAAAAAGGTCAATAAACATAATACACAAAAATAAAAAAACAAATGGGTGGGAAAAAACCTGCAAGGACTGGCCAACATTCTTTTTCTGATATTAGTTGCATTTTATATGAGAAGAAAACTAATTTCCCCCAGTCTAAAACCGGCTTTTAAACGATTAAGGCACATTTGAAGCTTACTTACCTCAAGCCTCAAACTTCCACTAACAAGCTCATGAGTAAGAACATAAGCCATGTCTGATTGTGAAAAATAGTTAGGAGTGAACAAGTTCTTACAAGAGCTATAAAAAGCACTCATGAAACCATCAGCATTCTATGTGGTGTGTCATCTCAAATTTAATAATGAATTGGAGCAAAGACAGATATTAATAGTTGAATTTGATTTATTTTGAATTTCAGCGTGAAACAAAATGTATACAAACCTTTGCCCAGAAAAAAATAAAATAATAAAAATCTGAACCCAAAGCAGCAAATACTGCTCTATAGACAATTAAGCTCTCTGATTCTGCTGAGCCTGTATTTTAGTAACATTAGTTTAATATAACAATGGCAGCATTATGCATGCACTTACGCTAACTGTTAAGAGGATTATACAGTTTGTGTTATGCATTAACTTCCAAATAAACAAAGTAATCCGCTTCAAATGGCTTGATAAAATCAGCCAAAGAAATCACAAAACAAAAGCAGTTTGGAACATCAGATATTTTGCGATATGACATAATCCACATGGACAGAATTCAGCTTGCTTTCCAAAAACTCGGGTCATAAGAATAAGAAAAGTGTGATAAGAAGCCCTGTCCAAATACTGCAGTGTACAGACATTCATGAATGTCCATGTAGCAGCGTTGCCTAATTTATAGATTGCATTAAGTCCTTCTAAAGGTAAATCAGTCTGTATTGTCCCCTTTCAATGAATGACTTTGACAATCATTGACTGACTGGATCAGCACAACAGACGAAAGGAGATTTTTGCAAGAACAAATGATTGTGTAAGCTTCTGTAATCTCATACGGTCCATGCTTATAAAGCCAGTGCATTTCCATTTTGTGCTTCTTCCTCAAGGACACACCTGGATAGTAGTTAACTGTGACCACTCAAAGAGCAGACACAGGACAATCATATTCGAGAGGTCAGCTCAAATTCTAAACCGATATGAAAGAGATATAGAGAGAGAGGAAGATATACACATACACAGCATAAGAGTTCCCTTTTAAATGGTGAAAGAATTGCTTTTGATCAGTTATTCATCTCGCATTTCAAACATTTGATTCACACACACACAAGCACACTACACAAAGAGCATACCAGAAGTTGTACCTGATGTTTACTACAGTACGTTAATATCCTATAACTATGATCAGCCACGAGACAACCCTGGATACGTAGTACACATGCATCGCATGGCACGAGAGCAAACAGTTGTGTGTATTCTTGGCACGGCCCAGATTGTCCACTTAAACCATTGCTATTTCAAATGTTTAACTACTTAAATGGGTAAATTCTTTGGGTGTGAAATGGTGATCATCAAATCATTCAGGGGTGTGTGACAGTATTCAAATCTCCTTAAGGGACAGTTCACCAAAAATGAATTATTTACCTTCATGTCATTCCAAACCTGTGACTTAGTTTTGCAGAACACGAAAAATATATTTTGAACAATGTTTCTCATCTATGCAATTGATTGTACAAAGACTTTGAAAAAAAAAAAAAAAAACTAAAAACCTAAAAACAAAACAAAAGAAAAAAACACAAAACAAAGTGAAAAAAAAATAATCATTTAAGTCTGGAATGACATAAAGGTGGAAAAGATGACAGAATTTTGACATCTAGGTGAACTATCCTTTTAACAATTTATTAGATAACACCTCCATGTCTCATTTTAAAAACACTAGGCTAAGTGCAGATATGAGAAAGTGCTTACTGCAGACAGAGCTGGGATATGCCAAGGTTAACCTCAGTTGCAGTTGCAGAGCAGGTTTTTAGTTATAAGAATTCTGCACAAAACTTCCTTTGTATGCTACTTTTACTTTTTGCAGAGCTCACAAACACAAAACAAACACCCAAAGTGCTATTACAAATCCATAAAAACAACCAAAAACCTGCACTGGAAGTGCTCTAAGGAGGAAGAATACCCAAAGCAACCTAGCAATCTGGGCCAGAGAGCAGATCTGGGGAAAGGGGTTTGATAGCAAGGCTGGGTTTAGTGGGTACTAAATAGGGTCATGCAGTGGGGGCGCCAGAGAGCTTGTCCAGAGACTGTGATGTAGCGGCTTCGTCCTGTCCCTCCTCAGAGCCAAGGGGTTCAGTGGCTGGGGATGGTGGAGGCGCTTGTAACACTCCAAAGAGAAAGGAAAACTTGAAATCGCATCATATGACCCCTTTAAATGCAGAGGCACTGCTTTTAAAGATAGTGGTGTTTGGATGTTTAATCTGCCCTATATATAAAGCCATCTCTAAGTACCAGATATGCTTCCCTAAGTAGGACATTTGCTAATCACTTGCTAAATATATCACTCTCTCAAATGATCGGGGGAGTAAATGTATGCATGAAAGCGTCACCTAGACCTACATAAAGTCAAAATATTTGCAGATGTGATGCATTAAAAGTATTGTAAGATGATGAGTAAATGGATGGACTCAAGTCTAAGCAAGAAGACTCAAGTGACCTTTTGTTCTGTTCTTATGAGATCACAACAGTAAGGAGACACTCACCCCATCTTCTTCTCGGTGTGGGTTTAGCCTGTTGTAAACGGCCTCAATTACACTACGTCTAGAAGAGAAGAGAAGAGAAACAGATTAGACAGAACTCTAAAAACCCTACTGAAGATACTAGTGAGAAAAGTTTATCTGGTCCACAGCAAAACCTCAGATGTTTAAAATTGAGCAAAAATCACTATTTTACACATTATAAAGGAGGATAATAAAAAAAAAAAAACCACTGCAATATTATTTGCTCTCGATTTCTATATAGTGATATTTCCAGCTGTATTGAAATTCTTGCACCAAGAATCAATATATTTTGTGTTAATTTTTGCATAAATATTTATATAATTTAATATATCACTTTATCCACACATTACATAGCAGGGGTAATAAAAAAGTACTGCTATATTTTACCTCTTGAATCCTATAATTTATTTTTTCATTTTTTCCACCTGTACTGTATATTCTCACACCAGGGATCAATATTTTCAGTTAATTTTCACATTAATAATTTAATATTATATAATTATATAACAACAACATTATAAAACATATACAGTTTCCACATTTAAATAATATACAATTCTGGATGATACCAATAAGGCAATCATTATTTTCATGCTATGGCCAATAATTGAGATGGTTGGAATTAAAACTCTACACAACTCTACACTATTGTGTCTAAATGAATGAGAAATAAAATGAAGTGCTATGCTACCTGTGAATTGAAAAATGGATTTCATTTTGAGATTTGATTCAAGATTACATTATTTTAAAGACTGAAGTGCTAATCTGAATACATTTTTGTTTTATTCATTCATGTTTTAACGCCATATCAGCAACAATGGCTATATTCATGGCAACATTAACAATATAATTTCAATACATCATTTACCATAATATAACATTTTCTTAAACAATCATTATACAAAACATACAAGCAACAATAGTACTGATAAAAATCATATACAGTCTTTCAGTTTAATCAGTGATAAAAATTCTAAACTTCTTCCAGGAGAGACTTTTAAAGTATATACTTTTAGTATATTTTCTGAATAATATCGTTGTCTAATATCATTTAAAATTGTATTATAATGTGTTTTACACTCAAAAAATTCTTACACAAGTCACAGACTGGTTTCTCTTCTCCTTTCAATAAATATGAATGAGTGAGTCTTGAATGTCCAATTTGACATCTTGTATATACAACCTGGTCATATCTATTTTCAAAACAGTAATAACTTATTTCATTTACTACTGGATTCACCTCATATAGTTTGTTGTATATGCATTCATTCCATTCGCCATTTATTATTAATGTACAGATTCAATATAGGTTTTACATCAGATAATGGAATATTACATTATGTTATTTCCAACTGAAGAGCTTCCTTAGCCACTTTATCTGCTTTTTCATAGCCAACCAATCCCATATTGCCGGGTATCCAACAAAAAATAATGCTGAAATCTTGTTTCTTTAAAAAGTCAACTTTTTCTATTATACTAATAATTGTAGGGTGTTCAGTTTTCAAAGACTCAAGTGCTTGTAGGCAGGACATAGAATCTGTGCAAATTAAGAAATGACATTGCTGTTCTGAATAAAAAAAAAAAAAGGGAAAATTAGCATGCACAACTAAATATCTAATATTAATCAATATATGATCAATATTAACAAATATTTATAAAGGAAAAAAAATCTTGGACCAATATCACACACCCCTTAAGATCAATGCACAATATTATTTCTATTCAAAGAAAAATTTTGCAACAAATTATTATAGTTTTAAATAATTCAACACTAAAAGAATCACTTATTTTTTATCATGACCCAAATATCAATACAATATTGCGTATGGCAATTTGCTTTGATCAGCATTGATGTGATATGAAGGACCACATGGACAAATGTAGCAATTTTGGATCCTTACTTGCTAGCGAGACCACCTCCTGGAGGCAGGTTGGGGATGCTCTCAGGGCGAAGGATGTGTATGACATGGCTTAGATCTGGGATGCCTTCCTCCCCTGACTTCTCCATGATTTCTGCAGAGAGAGACAATTACATTACACATGTGGGGCAACAAACCGCTAATGGAATCCTGGAGCGTTTTCTCCACCATGACTGTTGCCGTGAAACCTTAGAACGATGTAGGTGAGAGAGTGTGAGAAAAATAACATCCAGAGAGAGAAAGAATGCCAAACAGGTTTCATCACAGCTGTCCTAACTACATGTCAAATGGAAAAACACTAGAATTGTTATCAGAATTAATATATTCCCTATCCAGGAAAGATCCTACGGGCCTCCAGATAGTTTAGAACATGCCAGAATGTTGAAAGAGAAGAACCAGTGGGAGATGAGCACAGAGAGCAATTTCAAACCCCATGACTGAAACTAATATTAGGTCTGGTATTAGGACTTTTTGAATAACAAGATGGCCATTTCCTCCACACTGGATATACAATGCAGAAAACTGGCTGACAAATGAACAAGTGCTGCCTCTTACCTTCCACATGAGCCTCCAGGAACTTATCCAACTCGGCCTCTCTCTTAACAGCCTCCTCTGATACCTTCGGCGCATTGGGGAAACATACTAGAACAACACTCATGTTGTCACGGCTTCCCTAGTTAATAAAAAGGGAGACGGTGTGTTAAAAAAAGGCAGTTCACTAGACAAAAATCCAACCTGTCAAGCAAGTGTTTATAACACCACACGCTTCTATTGTAAACCACTATAAATCTAGACCAGCTCCAATTTTGCCAATATTTACCTCGGATGGAAATTTGTGACATCTATTCCTAGTTAGACACTAAGCAGACCTTCATAGAGAAAAATCTTCCAAGTGGAA